AGAAAGATTCACTTACGGATGAACATTGTCGGATCCTATATAAGATTCAGAAGACTGTGGATATTTATCATTGGTATTGAAACCTTCTTTACCATACTCATGTTTGGCGCTATGATCATTAGACATTTTAATTTGTATTTGATTAATGTGTTCGTATTTCAAATGAAGGTCGATTGTTGTTCGTTGCTTCTACTACAGTAATCTATATCAACATGTTTTAAATATTCTTCTTTTTTCTGCTATTTGCTTAAGTCGTCATATCAGAAAATGACGCACGTTTATTAACTCCTGTTCTTCATATTGAAGATAAAAATTGATAGAGAGACTTATTGAGTTTGTAATGTTCTGCATTCCTTTAATCAGCAAATACTTCCAAAATGTTTTCTATCCAAATTCGAATTTAATTTTAGAAAGAATTTAAATTCATCGAGAAAAAATAATCTCAAAATATTTTTTATTAATAAAGTTTGATGCAGCGCCATCTATCATAAAGAACTTTTCTAAGAACTGGAATCTGTAATTGATATAAGCGATTCAGGCACTTCAACAATATCAGATTGGATAGAAACCGACTCAATTCTGTTAATTTTAATGAACTTCAAAAACTATTCAACAATTTTGATACAACACATCACGATACACTAACCGGTAGTTTTCTTGCGATTTGAATCATATGAAAAGTGATTAAGAATTCATTTGTACTTGTTATCCGGTGGTAGAATTTTGTGTACGTAGTCAAATAGATAGATTCTATTCTACAAATAACAAATGAACTTTCCTATGATATTATTCATATCTTTTCAAAGACATAAAATTCTGACTTTGAGCCAGAGATGTCCATCGCGGCTGAAAATATGCCGCTGCCGCGATGGGATTTTGAGGAACGTGCCGCCATGGACATCTCTGTTTTGAGCCATTAGTCTATTAACGTTCTTCATAAATGGTTAGAATCTTAAGGCAAAATCTTCGAACCTTATCAACAGGTGAATTAATAAAATCTCCGTAAAACATATCTCTATTTGCCATTTTCTTTTCACTCAATAATCAAATAAGACAATACTCAAATCTTAGATTTAAAAATTCTTAAAAATTGAACAAATAAAAATTATTCAATAGGCATTTGTATGAAGTACTTCGACACTTATTGTTAAAAACAATCACTGAATAGTTGCCATCGAAACAAAAAAAAAACTTTATATATATGTATATATCTTAAACAGATAAAGAACAAAATATTATTTTTATATTTTTATGTAATATATATGATCAAGTTGTATAAAGAAAATTTAATGAAATCTTAATTAATCGATAATATTAGGTAATTTTTTATAACTAACAAACGAATTAAGAAATTTTTCTTCTTCACCACGTAATAATAATATTTCATCTTCAAATTTTGTTTCATAACGTTCACGTATTAAAGGTGTACGACGAAAACCTTTTAAACTATGACAATTCATACAATTTTCTATTGGATATTGTGACCATGTAAAAATACGTTTATGACATTGAATACATTCAAAAAATTTTTGTTTTATTTCACATATTTTAACATAATGTTGTTTTTGTTTACATAATATTGATTGTTTATATGATGTATAATGACATTGTCGGCAAATAATAACTTTTATATCACGTTCCATTATTTGAAGAAGTTTTTCTTCAATATTTTCTTTTTTTTTATAACGTTCAAATATTTCATCAAGTGTCATTTGATTATATAAATCAGAATGAGATGATTTCATATTCATTATATCAATAAAATGTTTTTGATCAATTGTATCAGTATTATTATTATTATTATCGGATATTTTCAAACGTTTTGATGAATGATTTATATCAGATTCAATATTTGATCGTTTCGGAGAAGAAGAAGATGATGATGATGATTCATCAGCAGATACTAATGATTGACCTTTAATTGGTGTAATCTGTTTTTGAGCAAGACGTTGTTTAAGTATATCAATTGCACGTTGTTTAGCATTATTAATTGCTTCAGAACTAGCTGATTTTGTTAAATCAACAAATTGTTTAGGTGATGATACTAAAAAAAAAGGAAATTTAATTCTTGAAAATGAATCACTTTTGAATTGAAATTGAAATAGATATTAGACAAGCTCGTAAACAAAAAAAACAAACGTAATGATGTTTCATAGTCTTCAAAAAATACTTTTTAAAATGAAATTCTATAAAGTCTTCTTATATTTTCTCGAAATAACTTACTTTTGTTAATAACAGATGTTGAACTTGTTGATGAATTTTTTAATTCTCGTGGAGGTGATGTTGATGCAGCCAATGGATAT